CCCCAAAACCCCAAAACCCCAAAACCCCAATTGTTTACATATAATCAAAATAGGTAAATAGAAATTAAAGTGTGAGGGAGTAGTGATTATCGTAAATAAGTGACTATTTAACTTCATTATTAAGATAAAAGTTATATAGATATGATTCAGACTGATCTCGGAATATATCATATGTGCTTGCATTAAATCAATCAATCACAGAGAACTTTTCTCAATGTCAAATCAATTGAGGTGGGAAGAAGTTATCTGTCTTGTCATCTAGATTTCCTCCGAATCTTTTTTCTAGGTTATTCAAGTCGATAAGTTTAGAGAGTTCTTTTATGGGCTAATCATCGCAAATTACGAACTTTTTAACTGTAAATGGATCTACTACTTTCTTCACTACTTTCCATACAATCTTAATAGTCCATTAAGCATTAATGACATGGAGTCTATAGAGTCTACCTTTAAAGAGTGTTTGTAGGGGTTTAGTGATAGCTTTCATCAGATTTTTTGGGATCTCAGTAATTCCGACACCTTTCATATCAACAATTGATAGCCAGTTCTCAATTTTTCCTGGGATCAGGGCTCTAGTTATCAAGTATTGAACAAAATAGGTAGACATTTGAAGAACCTATTCATGAGGGATCTTGCATTGCTTTAGCTTGGCGACATTGAGTACAAAAATTGGTCGGAAAGATTTATCTCTCTTATAAACATAGCAATATCCCTTGTTCAACTCTTCTTCATATAATTTGAAGGCATTCAACTCAGTTGGGAATGAATTTAGGAATCTTTGATGAACTAGAATAGATTCATAGCATTCCTTGAACTTCCACTAGTTACCCTCTAAAAATCTTTGTACCATCATTTCATCATCATCATAACTATACACGTAGATTATTATTAAGTAAACCTTATCAATCCTGGTAATCTTACCCTTCTGGTAATACTAGGTTATTGGTCGTGAGATACTTCTAAAAATCATCATAATATTTCTGCTCTTCTGGCAAGTATTGCATACTCTTGTGGAAGATCATTCTTTACTGACACTTATCTATTCTAATTAGAGCATCTTCTGGGGCTGGCTCAAAAACATAAGCCTACATAGGTATTACAGACTGCCAAAGGGATTTTCAGATAGAATGAGACTAATTTAACTGGACTTACCTCTTGAGGAATATAACGAGCACGGATTTCGTCTGTTGGCCATCTTTGAGGGTTTAGGAAGTCCTCAGTTGAAGCTGTACTTTCTACCATAATATCTTATTCAAATTAATATTAAGTTTAAACTTTACTAGTAATTATGATTTTAAATGACAACATCATTTAAACGTAATTTTATTAAATATTTCATCACAAAGGTAGTCACAAATTTGGCAGAATTTGGCAACTTTGAGCATTTTTCATTTATCACACTAACTGCTTCTTTCCTATTGTGGCTGAGTTTCAAGGATAGATAGACTATTAAAGTACATATTTTATACAACCTAAATTCTGCGAAGCTATTCAAGTTTCTCTTAATTTTCCAACACAAGTTTATTTAGCTCATCTTGAGAAGCTTTATCTTATATGCTTTATATCTCCTAGAAATCCTAGAACATATTTATTAAACAATAAGGTAAACTTACCTCAGTTGTTCTTCTAACGAAATAACATCTAAAGTTGTAGTCTTATATTTTTTAACTAGTTTCAAGCATCTCTTTAAATAGATGATTGAGAGTTTGCTTGTTAGATTGAACTGTGGTCGAAAAGTATACTCTTTTAAGTTAATTCATCTTGTAATTTCAGTAATATTGTTTAATTTCTACATATCAACTAAATTAAACAAGTTCGGGGTTTTGGGGTTTTGGGGTTTTGGGGTTTTGGGGTTTTGGGG